CCCGCCCCGCCGCCGCCCCCGGCTCGAAGCCACCTGACGCGGGAGATTCAAGGTACCTATACGCACGACGTTCAGGGAGACCACTACTTGCGGGGTTCCTTTTTATCTTCAAGGCTCAAAGTACAGAGGGAGGACTCGGAGGCGTCGGTTAACGTCTGGTGTTCTCTCGGTCGCTGTGGCAAGATTCCCACCCGTTGGTGGGAAGTAGGAGGGAGTTTGCTGACGAAAGCTGCGGAATTCTACCTCAGCGCCTCAGGTGAAATGAAGGGGGAACTGGAGGGGCGGGGGAGCGCGGGGAGCCCGAGTGCAGAGCCCAGAACTTTGCGTTTGTGGAAGGGGAGGCGTCCTGTGAGGCGGAGAATTGATCCCTGTGCACCGGGAGGGGTGAAGAGCATTAACTCACCCTCTCTCCAAGAATGGGAGCGCGGGACCTTATCTCCTGGCTTCCTGTCCTGCCTCTGGATGCCGGCTATGGTGGGTGCCCAGTTCGAATTAATGACTGCGCGGATTTCTGGGTATCAATCTCTGACCCCAACGCTTGGGATAGAGAAAAATCGGGAGAAGTGAAGGAAAACAAATATACAGAATAGGTAACAAGAAAATGAGCAGAATGAGGGGAAGGGAAAAATAGTTTCTTTGGAAGATTAGACTTTCAAAAGACTCCTTGATCCTTCTCTCTTCTGGGTCTTCAGATTCCGCCAGGCAAAGAATACACCTTCCCCTCCCATGATGACAACCAGGTTGGAGGGAGAAAGGCTGAAAGTGGGGAAGAACTTGAGGAGCTTGGGCTGAGGCAAAGCAGCACCTTCAAGCACGGTATGGTTTTCTTTACCAACAGAAAGAAATAGTACTAGTTCTCTTGAGTTCAGCTGAGCAAATATGTGTTAAGAGAACAGACCTGGAGAGATTCAGAAAAGAAACGGAGGTTCCTGACCTATGGGATACATAATTACGATATGAATAGCAAAACCTACCACTTATGCAGTGTCTACCATGTGCCTTGGGTTGTACTTAGAACTTTGCCTATGCTAACTCTTTTAATTCTCAGTAATTCTTTGAGGTGGGTAACATTATCCCAATTTTATAGGTGAGAAAACCAAGGCACAGAGTAGCTGTGTAAATTGCCCTAGGTCACACAGCCAGTGAGTGGCAGAGTCAGGTAGTCTGGCTCCAGAGCCTGTATTCTTCCTTAACTGTGCTGCCTCTGTTAAAGCTGTAGAAGAAGGGCTACTAACGAACATTGTTACATCTGTAGTTGTACTGATAAGATACTTATTTTTAAGATGATTAATTTTAAAAGAGTTCAAGTGGAGAAGGAATTGAATGCTGTTTTTTATGAGTACGGAGGAAGAGAGACATGAAGAAGAGAGGGTGCTCCAAAGCTGAGGAGCCAAGAGGTGTGATGCAGACACGCGTGCAGGGTTTGGGGCTCAAGCTGCCTGCTTTGGGTCCAGCTTGGATAAGATGCTCCATTTTCCTACCCTGCAGGATTCCTCTCCTGTAAAAAAACATCAGCCTCACAGGTGGCTTATAGTCAAATGTTATTACGAGTGTTAAGTGCTCACCACTGTGCTTGGTACATTGTAAGAAGCCAATAAACATTAGCCATCATTTAAATCTTAACCTTCACGTGAGAATGTAGGCTAATTGTGGGGAGAGACTCCCACCCCACTGATCACTGGGTCTTCCGGTGCCAGCCACAGAACTTTGCACCTACTAGTTGCTCTCTAATAATTGATTAGATGGATGGATGCAAGAAGTGGACTTAGGAGAAGGAAAAATTGGAAGAATAAAAGAAATGGAGTGGATAATGAAATAGTAATAATTGTCCTGTGTGCTAACCATTTTGCATGATTTATCATGTTACTTCTTATTAATCTCACTTTACAGATAAGGAAAGTGAGGCTTAGAGGAGTTAAGTAATAACTTGTATAAAGTTACATAACTAAGAAGCATCAGAGATTCCATTTAAATTCAGGTTGTCACCCTGAAATAGGTGTTCCTATATTGCTGTTTGCTGCTTCCCAGCATAGCATGAAGAAGTGGGTAAGAAAAGAGGCGTATTCTTGGGTAATTGATCACAGATGCTGCATCATCTATAATTGGTTTTAAATTTCTTCACGTTAGGCAGAGGAGTGTGTGTGTGTGTACATTAACTTTAAGCCTTAGAGGGGGTTAGTTATCACTTGAATACCATAGACTAGTTTATTCAAATCCTCCCCTGGTTAGTCAGCATTAAAGAATTCCAGACTATGGAGACCACTGTATCAAGTGTCACCATCTAAATCTGCACCTGGAGGGTTCATTTATTAGCTCAAGAGATATTAGAGATAATTATTCATGGTAATGCCAGTTTTGTCCAAAGTTTGTGGATTTAGAAGGACATATTGTATATGCAGCTCCAACTCTGTCTAGGGTATTAATTAGAACAAGGAAACCAGTATTCTCAAACCAGTGGAGTGAGTTCTTGGCTCTCTTAGTTCATTCAGTCTGCTGTAACAACAACAACAACAAAAAAACATAAACAGAGTGGCTTATAAACAACAAACACTTATTTCTCATGTTCTGGAGGCTAGGCAGTCCAAGATCAAGTTGCTAGCAGATTCGGTGTCAGGTGAGAACTGTTTCCTAGACTGCTGGGTTTCTGCCGTGTCCTAACAGAGTGGAAGCGCCAAGGTAGTTCTGTAGGGTCTCTTCTAAGGGCACTAGTGCCCTCATGAGGGCTCTACCCTCATAACCTAATCACCTCCCATAGGCCTCACCTCCTCACACCACAGCCTTGGGGGCTTAGGATTTCAACATACTGATTTGGGGTGGAGGGGATGTTCGGACCGTAGCTCTGACTCTAGAACACTGTCGTGTTCTGTGTCTACTCTACTGGCAAAGGAAGATTCTGCTCTGTGATCTGAAGTGAGCTGAATCTTCCCTTCAGAACTTTGTCTCAGACTGAAACTTTTTGTCACATGCTTGTTGAAATACAGAGGACATAGCTGGGATTTCACTGAGTTTACAGAACAATGGATCACAGGATGATTTTCATGTCCCCCTTGGTAACAAACATCTGTGTGTAACAGATTTGGGTTTGAGCTTAGTGTTCATTGAAACATACCGCCTGGCAGTGAGACCGTGGGGAAAGGGACTGATCACCCCTTGTCCACATCTAATCTTTGAAGTCTACTAGTGGTCACTCAGACCCTGTCAAGAGGCCAAACTGGCTTGGACAAGAGACCACTGAGTACTTCAGTGTCATGAAAGGGAATTATTGTCATTAAAAGAGCAGGACAAATAAATTCAAAAGTCCTGAGGTCAAGTTCCAGTTCTGCGTATAACCGACTCTTTAATCTTTAGAAATCACCTATTCCCTCTAGGCGTTTCTTTTCTCATATGTACAGTAGGATTTCTCAAAGAGTTAATAGGACCAAATGGAAGAGCATATGACTAAACAATAACTTCACTATATAGATCTAGTTAATCCAGCACCTGGGGTAATCAATGCACCTTTCAGGGCATTGCAGAATATACGTATGTTATAATCCTATGGTAGAAAAAGCATGGGAATTAATATGTTTTGCATGTGTATGATACACATAGAAACAATCTAGACACAAACTGAAGAGTAGATACATGAGTGGGACATTGGGATCATGGAGACTGGGGAGGTCAGTGACTTTGGAAGGAGGCTTTGCTTTTATTGTGTGATCTTTTATGCTGTCTGAACATTTTAAACCATGTATCTTTATTACATTTATGTCACAATTTTTAGTTTAAAAAGATTATTCATATCAGTGAATCTTGCCCAGGAGTGATACAGGGAGAGAGCACCAAATCAAAAAAGAATTTGTGATTATATCTCAATAAAGCTGTTTTTAAAGAAAAAAAATAGAGATTTTATTTATTATTTGTTGAAGCATAGTTGATTTACAGTGTTGTGTTAGCTTCTGGCATACAGCATATTGATTCAGTTATATATATATATATAATTTTTCATATTCTTTATCATTATGATTATAAGATATTGACTATAGTTCCCTGTGCTAAACAGTACAACTGTGTTGTTTGTCTATTTTATATATAATAGTTAGTACCTGAAAATTCCAAACTCCTAATTTATCCCTCCCCTCCTTTCCCTCTGGTAACCATAAATTTGTTTTCTGTGTCTGAGACTGTTTCTGTTTTGTAAATAGTTTCACTTGTGCCATTTTTTGATTCCAGCTAAAGTGATATCATATGATATTTGTCTTTCTCTATCTGACTTCACTAGTATGAAAATCTCTAGGTCCATCCATGTTGCTACAAATGGAATGATTTCATTCTTTTTTATGGCTGAGTAGTTTTCCATTGTATAAATATACCACATCTTCTTTATCTATTCATCTATTGATGGAAATTTAGGTTGCTTCTATGTCTTGGCTATTGTAAATAGTGCTGCTCTGAACATTGAGGTGCATGTATCTTTTTGAATTAGAGTTTCCTCCAGATATATGCCCAGGAGTGGGATTGCTGGATCATGTGATAAGTCTATTTTTAGTTTTTAAATGAATATCTATGCTGTTTTCCATAATGGCTACACCAAACTACATTTCCACTAACAGTTTAGGAGGGTTTCCTATTCTCCACACTCTCTCCAGCATTTATTGTTTGTTGACTTTTTGATGATGGCCAGTACTGACTGGTGTGAGATGATACTTCATTGTAGTTTTGATTTGCATTTCTCTAATGATTAGTAATATTGATCATCTTTTCATGTGCCTCTTGGCTATCTATACATCTTCATTGGAGAAATGTCTGTTTAGGTCTTCTGCTCTTTTTTTGATTGGGTTGTTTGTTTTTTGGTTATTGAGTTATATGAACTGTTTGTATATTCTGTAAATTAAGTCTTTGTCAGTTGCACCATTTGCAAATACTTCCCCCCATTCCATAGGTTGTTTTATTTATTGTTTCCTTTGCTGTGCAAAAGCTTATAAGTTTAATTAGGTCCCATTTGTTTCTTTTTGCTTTTGTTTTTGTTGCCTTGGGAGACTGCCCTAGGAGAACATTGCTGTGATTTATGTCAGAAAATGTTTTGCCTATGTTCTCTTCTAGGAGATTTATGGTGTCCTGTCTTATGTTTAAGTCTTTAAGCCATTTTGAGTTTACTTTTGTGTATGGTGTGAGAGAGTGTTCTAACTTTTACATGGGCTGTCCCGTTTTCCCAGCACCACTTGCTAAAGAGACTGTCTTTTCTTCATTGTATGTTCTTGCCTCCTTTGTTGAAGGTTAATTGACCTTAGATGTGTGGGTTTATTTCTGGGCCCTCTATTCTGTTCCATTGATCCATATATCTTTTCTTTCATTTGAAATATAGTCAGTTACAATGTGTCAATTTCTGATGCACAGTGCAATGTCCCAGTCATGCAAATATATACATATATTTGTTTCCATTAAAGGTTATTGCAAGATGTTGAATATAGTTCCCTGTGCTATACAGAAGAAAT